TAATATATAACTCTAAAATAGTTCAAAAACTTTTTACTACTAACCTGACTAATTAATTGTTGTTTATTTCCACACATAGAGCCAGATGTTGTAGATTATATATGACTGTTTTGTGATTTTTTTCCAATTTGGTAGTGGTATACAATATAGATCATTTGTCAGGAATACGCTATATTTTCTACTTTTTGGCAAAAATTTTCAAAAAAACTCCAAAACATATTAGGAGAGTATAGAGAGGTTTTTGGTTATCTGTACTTGTAAAATTTCCAAAGAAATGTGTTGGATAACTCATTCTTATGTTGTTTTTCTTTGTTTTGCCACTAAAAATTTTGTATACAAAAGCATCTTCTTCTGCCAGTTATCTTGTATTTTAATGCTTTTGGCTTGCTTGCCGAATATATAAAGAAGTTCTCAGACAAAAAGTTGACCTTTATAAAAACTATTTCTAGTATTATTTTACTATACTTTATAGTATAGGCAACACTCCAACATAAGCCATTTTGTTTTCTATTAGTATAGAAATTTTGGTCCAGATAATCGTTAAGAAGAGTTTTTCAATTCCAATATTATCATTTGAATATGATTTATAAATATAGTCAACTTCCTCTAAATACAACTTCTCTAAGTGCAAGTTCTATGAAAGATTTCTCTAAATGCAAGTCTTCTCTTGGTCCCAACTACTATTACATCTGTAGATTTTTACTCCTCTAAATGCAATATTTCTCTAAGTGCACATTTTGCAAAATTTTTATATATGGCCCTGTCATATTGCACTTAGAAGGAGTTGACTATATTATTAGAATTTTCTTCTATTAATATTTTTAAAATACTATTAACAATATTTTTTTTCTCTTTGATAACCTCGCACTAATTTATTAAAAGCTTTGTAATTTACAAATTTAACTATCTAACATATATATTAGGCCAATACCTGGCTGCTTAAAAGTGTCCAAATATAGTTATCACACTGACTATTGCCAACGAACTCCATATACAGTACTATCTATATTTAAAACCCTGATATAGCTAGGCAGTCAGATACCCAAGACCAGACTATTTTAAATTTATCTTCTTTCAAATCATTCTCACCACAATCCCAACAGAATATAATACCTCTTACTTCTTTTATCACAACTACTTTAAATTTCCTTTTATTAAACTCTTTTCACCTATGTTTGGGCAGGATATGTTATTTCTTACTTTTGCATAAGATTAAATACATACTACAATTATGAGAAAAACCCAACTTTAAAGTACCAACTTTAAATGATTTTATCATAACTAAACAAGATAAAATAAGCAATGAGCATACTCAGAAAACTAGTCTGACACTTTTATAAAGCTAGTATATCTATCTAACTTATAAACGAAAAAATAAATTTAAAGTTTTTACTCTAAATGATTCCATCATAAGTGAATCAAGATGAAAATAACAGAAAGAAGAACAAATTAAAACAATCTGATACATTATTATAACCCATGCCAAGTAGTTTAAAAAATTATATATTAGACACAATATCTGTATATCTCTACTGTAAGTCAAAACTTAACTTTATTCTTCTCTTCAATCCAACTCCAATTATACTTGATAATCTAGTCTGTATCTCAAATAGGTGCTGCTACTGTCTGAACTTTGACTCTCTACTTTAGGGCATCCAATTGAGCTGACTTTCTACTAAGACACCAACATCACCAGATCTTGACTTTTTACTTTAGGGTATTAACTATAGTTGACTTTCTACTAAGGGTGCCAACGTTTTAAGACCTATATTTCTTTTTTGATCAAAACTCAATCCAGATCACATATACTGTATTTATCACCAAATACATGATTGCTGTCTACTGATCTAACCAGATTTGGAATATAAATATTGCTAATCTTTTGGAGGGGGTGAGCCTAATCGCCCACTTTTGTTAAAAATTTTGAGATGACTAGCCAAGATATAAAGAAAGATAGAGACCTTTTTCTGACCAACTTTTTAATGAGTGTAAGAGTTACGCTAAGTAGTATAGACATATTTCTTCAAGAACCACTTCTGCTTTTGCTTTTGTTGTGTTTGACAAAATTCCCATTAGACTGCTACTTCTTTGTTTAGTAGCACTATAGACTTCTACTAGAGAGATTTTGCTTAGATTAACCTTCTCTTTTTCAACTCTATTTCAATTCTAGCCTAACTCAGTGAATAACCTCTATACTCAGCTGCTCCAGAAGAGTTTTGTTGTAAAAAATATGTCTTCTAATTAGTATCATGGTTTGGCTTTTCCTGTAAAAAGTTGGTATAAGGAATCATTGGAAAAGAGTTCAATATTAACAATATTATAAAAGTATTAATTATTATTGTTATTATATAAATAAGCTTACAAATCAAAATAAATAAGATTTATAAATTATTAATTTTGAAAGAAATATATTACTAATTTAATTTGAAATTAAAAACCTAAATCTACCCTATTAATATAATTATATCCAAATTAAAAATTTATTACTGTGAATCAAAAACTTATTGAATCAGCAGATATTTTATCAGTTAGTTTTTGCTAAATTTATGTAAACAAAATTCTATCAAATAATCTTTGTCTAGCTGAAATCTTTGTTACAATAATTTCAAGACTATAAATATCTAGTGCTTGAGTATATAGTTAATTTATCAAAATCTCAAACACTATATATAGTAAAATTTTACAGATTTTTTTGTTCTTTACTTTTTTTAAAAGTTCAAAATTAGTATTTATAGTTCAATGACAAACTACTACATCAATATATATACCTAGTGATTTTTAAAATAAAATTTCAAATCTAAACTCTTTATACAAAAACTACCAATCTACTCAATCTATATAACTAACATCCACTAAAATATTCTTTACCTACTTGCCAATATTGTTATAACACAACTAAGAATAATGCTTATTAGCTCTCCTGTTCAACTAATACTACTAATCTAACCTCTCTATTACAAACAACTTTTATGAAGTTTGTTAACAAACATAATTTAGCTATTAATACAAGTAATGACTTTATTCACACTTTTATCAACACTTATATTACTAACAACATACCTATTGGTATTATTACTCAAAATACAATTTCTTAATTCTACTACTTGCAATAGCCACGCCACACAATTAGCTACTATATACTCATTAGGGGATATTCATAATTTATATTAAACCAGTACAGTATTGTATAAAAATAGAAACCTTGAAGATAATTCACATAGCATTATTTTTGTATTATCTTTAACAATGCTGGTTTAACATAAATTATGAACATCCTCTTATAAAAATCCACAAACACCTCAATGCTATGTATTAACTATAGTTACACACCTCCTGACAAAATAAACTATAGTGAACTTTCTCACTGGGTTAATGCATATATACAACATAATACACATCTCCGTTTAATATTAGATTCATAGACTAGAGGTTGATCTATATAGCTAAGATTTAGGTCTAAAGTAAAGTAGTTCAACCCATACTTCCCCAAAAAATTATAATATACTATTGCATAATAAATAATAAAGGAATTGAGGAAAAAATCTCACTTAAAAAAAAAAAATAATAACTAATATAAATATGCAAATAAAATAATAATATATAGTATCAAATAAGTGCAACTAAAAAAAAATCAAACTTCAAGCTTTCAAATTTATAACTTATTAGCCTTAGCTCTTTTAATAGAAACTAATATTTCTGTTAACTTTTGTTTAGCAAATTTCAAGAACTTCAAAAGTATCAATCAAAAGATTAGCCAGTAAACGATGGAGATCAGATATAAAAATTATATAATGATATAATCTAATAAAATAGCGATAGAAATTTTCGATTCGTTTTCTATTTGAAATAAAATAGTAACTAAAGAGGTTTATCAACATGGTATATTAGTCATTAGTTTACAAAATTTCAATTTCATATTTCTCATTAATAATTCTCATAATGTAAACATATTAACCAAAAAATAACTTTTTTTTTGTTTCTTTATAATGAATGATATACTGTTCAATAAAGTTACAAAAAACCATGTATTTCAGATAATCACAAGATTCTTGAAAAATTCTTGTTAAATTAAATGTAATAAAAGTGATGATAAACATATAGGGAGACCTGTTACACGATTATAACGTTATTTTTAATGGTTCAAAGATATGAATCAATAGGGATCCAAACAGCGACGCGGAATTTTTGTTATCCGGGTCAGACTTTTAGCAAATCGGTTGACTCGAAACCTTTTACTAATCGGGTGATCCGAATTGTTATGGGTTAAAATTTTACAGCTGTTTTTCATAAATTCTGGGACATCTGAGAAACTTGCCGATAAATGAATAGGTACGTAAGTTCTCATTTCGGCTTATGTCGATAATTTTTCAGCTATCCCAGAATTTATGAAAACAGCTGTAATCTAACACAGTCAATGTTTTACTCAGGTAAATTATATGTATTGTTATGTGAGATACAAATGATGATGGTGAACAAAATTTTAAGATCTTACCTGAAAGACAACCAAAAATGCTTTATGATATTTTAATTATATAAAATTCATAACGCAATAAAGTATGTCAGATAAATATCAGTGAAATATCATATACTGATTTTTACCGTTTAATGCTATAAATAGGGACGCTGACAGAGCAATCAGGTATATGATAGAGCTATCATGTACCTGTAGTTTATTGATTGCTCTATCAGCTTCTAATATGCATTTGATATTGTCCCTATTTATAACATTAATCGGTAAAAATAAGTATATGATATTTCACTGGTATTTATCATATATACTTTATTTCGGCATGTTTATGCTGAATATCATAGCGATGTCTTTTAGTTTTTCGAGTGACAGAACCGGATAACCGTTTTAATCGGGTATCCGGTTTTTATTTCAGGTACCCGGTTGATGAAAGTATTCGACCCGACGAGTCATGGGTAGAGAGACACTTAAATAAAAGGTCGATAAGTAGAATGCTTAACCGAGAATTTTCCTCCAAGTGAAAATTTTATTATTAATTTAACCGTTTTATTGCATAAATTTTATCTTCTAAAACAGTAAACCCATAGTTGTAATCTTGAAATGTGACTATTTGACAGGAAAGTTTCTTGATTAGAATATTATCAATTTATTTGGTATATTCTCGAAACTAAAAATTTACCTGTTACTCTGTTTGCTACAGTAGCCGTCATGTCGTCTTCATTGATGTTTTTCTCTTCAGATTCAATACCAACCACCTTCTTAGAATTTATATTTTCTTGTTGCTTTGCCAATAACAGATTTACATTTTGTAATAATTTATGAACGTTCGTAGCTTGATCCTGTGTTGCGTTTTGGGTGGCCTATTGAACAGTAGAAAATAATAAAATTATTATTTTTTTTTCGCAATTATGTCCTTAGAAAATGAAATTAAAATTATTACATCTATAAGAGTACCATCCTCGAGATTTGCCGTAAGAGAGGAAACATGGTTGTAAAGTTTCGAGAGAGACGTGAAATTTTCGTCTTGGTGTGTCTATTTATTAGAGAAGGCTTAGAACATTAGTTAATTAAAATGAAACATGATAAACCTCTTTAACTACCATTTTATTTCAAATGGGAAGCGAAAACGAAAATTCCTATCGCTACCTTATCAGATTATATCATTATGTAATTTTTATCTGATCTCCATCGACAATCTGTCTCACTGACTGATCTTTTGATTGATGGAAACCAACACTTTCGAGATTCTTGAAATTTGCGGAGACGGTACATTTGGCATTGTATACAAAGCTAAACAAAAGTCAGCAGAAACATTAGTTGCTATTAAAAGAGCTAAGGAAGTTAAATATGAGAGACCTGTACAAGAACGGATTGCAAGCGAGATAGAAATTTTACGCAAAGTTCAACATGAAAATGTATGTATGTCTATTTCGTTCCTATGAAATTCTATTTAACACTTAATTAAAATTTTAAATTTTAATTATACTAATAGATCATATCAATATTTTCTTTGGAAGAACCAGTAGAAATAACATCTTCGCTATCATTTTCTAAATTATTGAATATCAAACTTAATATTAATGCAATTGTATTTCCTTATTGTCCTCTAACATTAAAATCTTTACTAAAAGACTATGTTCTTGCACTACATGAAATCAAGTCTTGCATTTGGATGATACTCAATGGTGTCGTTCATATTCATAGTATTGGTGTAATACATAGGGATTTATCACCAAGTAATATATTAATTAGTGACTCAGGTGTTATCAAGATTTCTGATTTCGGGATAGCATGGACGGATTCTAATAATCATGAACCTAGAGGTAAAATGAAATTCGAAGTGGGAACAAGGTTAGTCTAAAATGATGAAATTATTTCAGAGTTTTTTTCGTAACTTTAAATTGGGTTTGTTTCTAGATATTATCGTGCTCCGGAACTTCTTTACTCAACTGATAACTATTCTAATGCAATTGATTTATGGTCACTTGGATGTATCTTTGCTGAATTCTTTACAAAACCTGCTAGCTCACCATTGTTTCATAGTGAAAATGATATTGAACAATTAAGTGAAATATTTCGTATATTAGGAGTCCCCAATGAATCTACTTGGCCTGTAAGTAATATTAATTTATTATTATATTATTATTATTATTTATATATTTTAATGAATTTTTTTATGAAGGAAATGATAGATTTTCCAGATTATGGCAAGATTACTTTTGTTAATAAAGATTGTGACGGACTAACAATTAAACAATTACCTAGAGCAAAGCCCCAGGATGTACAATTTATCTCAAAATTTCTAAAATATCCATCTATGGAAAGAATGACAGCCGGCAAAGTTTGTATTTTAGTTTTTTTGATCTTTTTCGTAATAACATTATTTTATTAATGATTACATATAGGCGCTTTTAGATCCTCTATTCGATGCTGACGATTTTTCAAAGTTTTATATTAATATTCAAGATCTTAAGAAATGTATATGAAAAATTAAAAACTGCATGGACAAAGTAACCTGAGAAATAAGTCTTTCAATCCATGTTATATGCTGGAAAAAAATGATACAGTATTTCCAGCTGAAAGCATTTTGTGCTCTGCATTCGCTCTTAATATTGATTCCTCCATTCCTATTCTGAGTAATGATTGTATATATAGGATTCTAGATGCGAGTAAAGTACTAATCTTTTATACTTTTTTAATTTCGCTTTTGTCTGCGTATATACAGTATATTTTTATTTTTAATAATAAAAAAAAATAAAATAAAAAGGTTTTTTTTTTCTTCTAAAATCAAGCCGTTAATTTTTGGTTTATTAGATCTAAATAATAGTATATATATACAGTATATACAAAGCATGTTAGATGATATATATAGCAATATATACATCATATTATCCAAATTAACAATTTTTTCAAAATAAATTTTTTAAACTTAATAACTAATTCGTATTTTCTTATAATATCTGATACGTATCATTAATTTTATAATACGTAAAAATCAATTTTATTTTTTTTGTCAATTTGGACCCTTTTTCCCAGCTAGCCCATATATATATATATATACCAATACCTGAAGCATAGTGGAAGTTTATTTTGATTGGTTGTTAAAATACCCCGGAAAAAATATTGATCGTACCCCGGATAAAGTAT